TTTTTTTCAGTATTTTTTTTAAATCAAATGAATGCTACAAACCAATTTAATCTAATTGTAGCAACAGGTTTTAATTGAAACACAGAACAAAAGCTGGAACAAAGCTTTCTGAACAACTTTACTGAGTAATTTGAAATCATTCATTTTCCTTCCAGATAATTTACAAGACTGCTCTATTGACTGCACTTATTGCACAAAAGACAAATCCAAACCAAAAATCAAGCCGCAATCTTTCCTCTGAAGTTCTTAAATCTCAGTTATATTAGTAAAGTAGTTAAGAAGCAAAAACTGAAATGTTAGAATGTGAAAGTGGGTATTTCAAGGAAGAATATTATTCCCTTAAGTAACTGATATCTTTTTGGAGCTAAAAAATTAAACTTTTTATTTTTTTAAATTGTTTACAACTTGAAGATAAAAAAATATATTGATAAAAAGAATGCACTCAATTCCATGGAAGACTTTCTTTTAAATTAAGTCTACCTTTGAAAATTGCAGTTTTGAATTATTACCATTAGTAAAAAGAATTTAAGTATATCAAATATAAAAATTAACTTCATAATATTCTTTTAAAAAGTGCATTATAGTTAATTTATGTATATATCTATATCTATACATACATTGCTTGTCCCCAAAATGAAAGAGAGAATAGAGTGGGAAATATCGACAAATGTGTAATGGGAGATTTTATTCATTTCTAGACACACACTGCAGTTATCAAGTGGGTAACTTTGGGAAGCATAGTAAAGGAATCCTTCAACTCTTCTCTACTTGTTCTGAACATAATACATATATAAATTTTCAGTGAGAAGAGGACCTTTGTGACCCTACACAACTGCTGTTTTTAAAGACTCAAGAGATTAGATACACATATATGTGACACCACACATACACAGAGACATAATGCTTTGGCAGGACAGAGAAATATTTTCATGACTATTTGGCAACAGTTAAAAAGCACCAAAACCACAGTGAGCATATATGCAATTAAAAATATTCTAGATTTAAACCAAAGACATATTACAATCTGCTATTGTAATCTGAATTATCACACTTTATCATCAGTGGATTTATATGTTTATATTTTGCTTGAATATTAACATAGATAGCAAGATTGTTGATGTCTTTTACTACTATCCTGTGAAATATTCCACCCTCTTTCATGAGATCTTCAACCTTCTTATCTGTTGACATAGTAATTTTCTTTTCTCCAGTATAATCTGGATCTTCTGGATATAACTCATCTCCTGGGGGTAGAAAAAAAGATTTAGTTATAGATAGCCAACCTTACTTTTCAGCCTTTTCATTGAGTGATACTGGCAATTTTTGAGAATTTATCAGGACATGCAAATCACTGGAAATGTATTTTGCAATGCAAAAGTAAACTGCCTCTAAATATCTTCAGATTTAAAGATAGAACCATACATTTCTGAAGTATGCCAGTCACACTGCAGTACACGTTGAATGTTCTAGAGCTCCTGATAATATGCTATTAATATGCTGTAATGACAGCCTGGGCAGACAGGTGTATATAATAGATGGGGCACAGGACAAGCACTTCTTCACATGTATAAAGACAGGACTAAGAAATTTATTTTGTTCTATTTTGTTAAAGTAAATAATTATTTTGCTACATCAAGGCATTATACTCTTGTACAAGACTGATAATAAACCCGAAATACAGAAATCCTAGATTTCTCACATGGTGAATTGGTCAATTGTGACCAAAAGAAAAAAAAAAAAAAAAAAAAGGAAAGCATAATGAAAAACCAACTGAGAAAAGCAGAAAATAATAAACAGTATACACAATTTTTCTTAATGCTGCATGTACACGATTATGAAATGAGAGAGATTTAAGTAGGAGAAAGGGCAGGAGGAAGATGGCTGAGTGTATGGTTTTAGTCCAGTGCCTTGTCACTGCAGCTGGGAGGTGTGATACTGCAGCTGTGCTTGATTCTCTTCTCCTCACAAAGTGACACCTGAAGTAAAGGAGACTTCCCACTGAAAAGGACTAAAAGGAAGGAGCTTTAAAACATCCTTCAGGTTACAAAAAGCTGAACTGCTGGAATTTCTTCACAAATACACATATGATGACAATGGTGAGACAGGAGATTATGAGTAACTAAGAAGTAACTGTGCTGTCTGATGCCCTGGCTCATCTCTGCTGCAGCCATGTCACAACTGTAGCAAACAAGGTGGAAACAGCATGCAGTAACTTGACTTAGAAGAGTATTTTCCTTTCAGTTAAGGATGGTTTATGTCATGTGGCTTCAGCACACAGCATTCAGGAGATGCTGTGTATTTGGGAGAAGCCTCCAGCGTGTCCTTACCGGGCAGCAGCTGGATGAATCCATCTGCAGCACTCAGCATCACGGGCATCCAGCGCTCACAGCCCTCCAGAGCCCGTGCAGAGCTGAACTGCTGCAGCTGCTCGAGGGAAGAGAAGTTGCACAGCCTGCAGAATTCATAAAATTGAGGTGGAGGAAACCAGATCTCCTGAGACTTAAAGCGTTCGATGGCTTCTGGAGGTGACGACCACTGGAAGATGAAAACAAGTCTTGAAATAGTAATTTCAGGAGCAGACAGAAAGTCTGAATAAACTGAAAAGTCATTTAGCAAGGGAGTCCATACAGCAAAGGAGCTTGCAACAGACCGTATCTTCTGAACACAATAAAAACCATGTATAAACTACACCAAAGTAAGAACAAAGACGTTCTTAAAACTGAAAAACATAATCTATAAAAATTATTCATTTTTTCCCAATACAAATAAATTTTTATTTTACACACAGACATGCCAGGATTAAAAACTGACATTTGTTTTAGGGGCATGACTGAAAGTTTACTGAAACCAACAGAAAACATTAAACTCACTATTACCAGAGGTTGCCCTGATGCTTTGAGATTTAAAAGCACCTCTAAACATCTGCTTCTTAGATGCATAGTTTTCAGAGCATGAACACCCTGCTACTCATCATAATTCTGCATATTTAAACTATTGGTAATCTTGACTTCATCTCACACGGTGAATTTAATAATATGTGCATAATCATTTGCAGTAGATTTATGCTATTATTAACAAAATTACAACATGACCTCTTGAAAGTAAGGTTTCAGGTACTTTTAGATTTCTGTAGCAGAATTTGTTAAACAAATAAATATAGCAGCATCAGTAATACCAAAACTTTAAGTAGGCTTTTACAGAACTGTCTGGTTTTTCATCTACCTCTAACTTGCAATCAAACTTTTCAGAATGCTAGAAAAACTTAAGGACCCTAATGTACCCGACCTTGAGCTCTAATCTTAGAGTTTCTTCATGAAGTTTGTTACTTTTATACATTCAATTAAAAAAAAAAGATAAAAAAGTAAAAATGTCAACATTTTTACTATACTATTTTACTATTTCAACAAGTTTGCACATTACTTAAGATATTCCAAGTAACTCCAAAAGAAAAATTACTAGCATCTCATGCAGTCCTAGAATATACCTGGATATACCACATGGATCTCACCCAGTATACTGAGGAGGTGTGACAACCCTGCTATAGTGCAGGAATGAATGTAAAGAATTTGTCAAGTGCCTTTGAAAGAGACAGCAATTCACGGTGAAAGGGATTTGATGTGACACGGATCATAGAACGACCTCACAAAAACCCTCTCTGACACTGCTGCACCGCTGGTGATGGTGGCAGCTCCAGGTGTCCAGGGCAGAGGGGCACAGCGCAGGTAAAAGCTCCCTTCCCTTTCCTCACGTCTCAAGGAGCTTTATCCGGAGGGCTTGGATTGATCTGGAGAAGAGACAGCTGTGTGGAGACCTCACAGCACTTTCCGCTATCTGAAAGGAATTGCAGGGAAGCTGGAAAGGGACTCTTTGTCAGGAACTGTAGTGACAGGACAAGGAGTACAATGGGTACAAATCGAAAGAGGAGACTTTCAGATTAGATATTAGAAGGCAATTTTTTTACTGTAAGGGTGGTGAGACCCTGTGACACGGTACTCAGAGAAGCTGTGGATGCTCCTGGATCCCTGGAAGTGTGTCAAGGCCAGCTTGGACATTGGGGCTTGGAGCAACCTGTTCTGGGGGAAGGTGTCCTGCCCATGGCGGGGGTGGGACTAGATGGGCTTTAAGGTCCATTCCAACCCCTACCACTCTATGATTCTACGCCTGTTCGAAGTGTGAGGGCACAGTCTCGGCGGAGCCAGGAGCCGGGCAGGAGCGGCCGCTCTCATCGCAACACGCGCCCGGCCGGGCTGTGCTGCATCCCGGGCACCCCGGCCCCTCTTACCAGGACGGCTGTCACCTCCTGGTCGTCCTGCGAGACGTGTGGCGGCCGCTCCTGCAGGCAGCACAGGTAGAAAGCCGTGTCATAGCGGCGGCCGCCGCGGCCGGCCCTGCCCACGGGCGTCAGCCAGTTGCTCCACTCGTGCAGCGCCCAGATGTTGGGCGCGCAGCCCAGGTGCCGGCACAGCCGCAGGAAGCAGGACGCGTCCTCCCGCACCCGGCGCCGCCACTCCCCGAGCTCGGCGGCGGGCGGCAGGCGCTCGGCGGGCAGCGGCGGGGCCGGCCCGCGCCCCGGCACCAGCAGCAGGATCCCCGCCTCCTCGAAGGTCTCCCTGAGAGCGCAGATGCGGAAGGCGACTTCCCCCGGCAGCTGCGAGCCCAGGCTCTCCCGGTCGGTGGCGAAGAGCGGGGCGCGGCTGCCGCCGGGCGGCGGCGGCTTCACGGCGCCCAGCCCGCAGTGCGGCGAGGCGGGCAGCAGCCCCAGCCACTCGGCGGAGAAATCCGCCGGTTCCGCCAGCCCGCCCGGGAACACGTGGGCGCCGGGCATGAAGCCGCTGCGGGAGCTCCGGCGCAGCAGCAGCAGCTCGTAGTCGAAGGGGCCGAGCGGCGAGCGCGGCGGCCGGCCCGGCGTGCCCGCCGCCAGCAGCAGCGTGGCCGCCCCCCGCCAGTGCCGCAGCCGCGGGTTCATCTTGGCGAGGCGGAGGGCGCCGGGGCGGCCGCGCTCCCGCGGCGGGCGGGGCGGCACCGCCGCCTGCGCCCGCGGAGGAGCCACTGCAGCCGCGGGGCGGGCCAGCGCCGGGGGAGGCCCGCAGGAGGCGGGACAGCGCCGGGATGCCTCAGCCCCCCTCAGCCCTAAGCCGGTAAGTAGCGGGTGTCCTCAGGGGGCGAAAGCTTAAGGCAATACAGAGGGTTTAAGGCAGCGATGGCCGGGAGAAACGAGGCAATGGCTTTGAGTGGCTTGGGAAGCTGTGTCTTGGGCTGGCTCGCACGTTTCCTGTATAAATACACAGAACGGAGTGTATTTACAGCATCACAAGGTGTAAATGCCCAGAGCTTCCTGGGAGCCCAGAACCTCCCTGAGGACGGGGAGGGGTCTGTAATTCCAGCCCCAGAACCTCCCTGAGCACGGGGAAGGGTCTGTAGTTCCAGCCCCAGAACCTCCCTGAGCACGGGGAAGGGTCTGTAGTTCCAGCCCCGGGAGTCAGCACGGGGTCAGGAGCCAAGGGCTCGGATTTGTGTTGGTAATGCTGCTGCTGACCTGCCAGCTGGCCTCGCAGAAATCTCCTTATCTCAATGCCACAGCAAGCCATGCTGACAGCAAAAGTCATTTTAGGTCTGTAGTTAAACATGATGTTTGGTTGAATTTGTTTGAATTTGTTCTAGTACATTCCAAATGGGAGGAGTTTTAGCTTATCATTACAGAGCTCTTCTGTTTTGAGGTTTTTAAGTACCTTGTTAGATGAAAAAAAAAATCAGCAAAATAGCAAAACCTTGAAAAGTTCTTTGAACCCTTAGGAAACATTTTATTTTGTTAATTGATTTTGATTCCTCAATTTTCCCTAATTTGTAAGAAATTTAAGCAGAAAGAAGTTGATGACACAGGTTGAGAAGTTTGCGAGAATGGTATTTACATGTAACATGGAAAATCCTTCTCCCATCCATAATCCTTCTCATGCCAGATTGCATTTCACAAATACCCACGTGCCCGTACATGCTTCTGACAACCTCTCCATTTGATTTTCTATTTGAACTTGTACTTGGTGCTTTATGAGATGTGTGTCACTGGAACTGAAATAAAGTTTAGAAGTAACTGAAGCAGTGGGATGTTGGATCATGTCAATTGACAAATCCAAAAATGACCTTGAGGTGTGCCCAGACACAGCTGGGCCATAAGCTCACCCTGGTGCCTGGCTGCAGTGGCAGAGCAGGTCAGCCAAGCCAGCTGATGCTGCTAAAATGAATGGCCAGACAACAGACAAGCCTCCCTCTCCTTCCTTTGCTTATCACTGAATATACAAGCAAAACCAATGATATCTGTTCACCTGAGCAGCACTTTCCTCACTAATTTAATCCTTTTTGCTCAGCAGTAATTACCACATTAGGCAGTTGAAGCACGAGGCTCATTAATTTATTGTTTTCTACTAAGGCACTTTGAATCTAAAACCGTGACATTTATCTTGATATTTGTTTGCCTTTTGCACTCTTTGTGTAGTTAACCGTTTCACTGCGTTAAGCATATGTCTTGTTAGGAATGTGCTTTGCCTAAAAGCTGCTTTACTGGTGAAATATTAATAAACTACTGAGGTTTTTTAAGATTTAACATCCAATGAGCTTGATGGCTGATCAAAAAGATTTAGGGTCCATTATGTCCAGACCATTTCAGCATAAAGGCATTTTAAGTAGAAAGTGACCATCTACCAATAATGAACGGTGTCACTTTCAAATCAGATAAAATACCCACACACATAGAAAACTGTCTTACTCTGGCAAAAATGTGATATCTGATAGCCCTGGAACATAATTTCAGAACATATCTAGGAAAATTTGATAGCAGAGAATAGCAATGATTATAGTGTTATCTTAAGTTTCTAACTGGAATATTGGTTTGGGTTTTTTTATCTTGGATAGTCTAAAGGCTCACAAGTGCTAGTATGTAAAGCAGGGATACCCTGGCAAATGAAGCATAGGATCATAAAATGGTCTGGGTTGGAAGAGACCTTAAAGATCACCTGCTTTCCCGTCTGCCATGGGCAGGGACATCTTCCACCATCCCAGCTTGCTCCAAGCCACGTCCAGCCTGGCCTTGGACACTTCCACGGATCCAGGGGCAGCCACAGCTGCTCTGGGCAACCTGTTCCAGTGCCTCATCGCCCTCACAGGGAATGATTTCTTCCCAATATTCCATCTAAACCTACTCTCAGTCAGTGTGAAGCTATTCCCCCTTGTCACGCCAGGCCCTTGTTAATTGTTTCTCTTCATCTTTCTTGCACGCTTCCTTCAGGCACTGGAAGGGCACACTTAGGTCACCCCAAAGCTTTCTCTTCTGCAGGCTGAACTATCCCAATTCTCTCAGCCTTTCCTCCTAGCAGAGGTGCTTTATCCCCCTGAGAACCTGGCGGCCTCCCCTGCTTTCCTTGGCACCCACTGGTATTAAACCTCGTGGGTGTGGTTCCGAAGGCATTCCTGCAGGGCAGTGGAAATGGGATGTAGGCTGGCACGGTGCTGTGGCCTCAGACCCCCTGATATTGCTAGGGCTGGGGTCACAGCTCTGTTCAGGATGAGCTCAGCATCTAGAGCAGTTCTTTGGGCCCAAACACAGCCAAGTGCAAGCTAAGCTAAACTTTCTTCCTACTCCATTTGCTGTGTTTTTCCACACAGTTCTGCAGTATAAGTCACCTGTTAAGAAGGTGCCATTCCTTTCCTGAGGGTCAGCAGATTCACCCTATTGCTGGCAGTTTTTCTAGCTTCTTTCAGAATTGTCTTAGGAAGAGTAGTTTAGTATCCATTCGCTGCAAAGCTGAAGTGATCTCGTGTGAAATTCCAGGAGCGTGTGAGTCTTTACCTGACCCAGTTATCAGGACTGGAGATTGCAGGAGGTTCTGAGAATGAGCACTCAGAAACTCTGTGAGCAAAGATAAAGGATGCAAAGGGATGTTCTGCCCCCTTCCAGTTTCCTGCTAAGCAAGGCAAAAGATCAGCTCTTAGCGTGTGTATCTGCCCCCTCAAAGCTAAAGCTGACCTGCTGGAGGTAGTTCACACGAATATAGAATAACTGTTAAAGGCAAATTTGATGTAAAGTTGTCTACAGAGCGTGTTTCTTCATCTCCAACTTAGATGATTTTTTCTTCAATATATTCTGCTAGAATGCAGAGCTTATCTCACTTGTACTTAAATTTCTATAGCTTTATGAGTGATTTCAGGAAAAAAGAGAAAATCTGAGAAAATCTATCACTAATCCTAAACCATGCACACCAGTTTGTTGCATTACTGTATGGAAGGATTCCAGCATGAGGACATGATGCTTCAAGGGCCAGTTGTAGGCTGGGAATACAGGGCACTTTAGTGTGAAGAGAAGTCTCCTCATAGCAAGAATTAGCTAGATACATGTGTGAGAGTAGAGAAAGAGTCAGAGGTCCCCTCCAAATTAAATGATTAAAAAAAGATAAAAAGGTGGCTTTGCTAAAAAGTAAAGAATTCAGCTGTCTTTCTTGCTTCTTGTAGCATGAAAACATACAACATGTGTACTTAATGGGCCCCAAATAATTTTGTATTTCAGGTTGTTTTCAAAACCAGATTGTGTTGTATTGAAAAATAAACCCTTCTGAGTGATGCAAAAGTTACCTCAAATAAAATACCCTAAGACTGTTGCACTGATAATAATTCTTTGTGGCGTCATATTTCAGCAATGCAGAGGTTACTTCAACATTTTTCTCTACAGTTCAGTTACTGCTTACAAGTTTGTTTAAAAAAAAAATTAATTTTCTGGGGTTTTTCTATGTGATCACACTACTTGGCAATCCAATTACTTCATTCCTTTTGGTACATCATTGCATACATTATTTTGCCCAGACAGGTCAGTGCAGATTTCACCACTGTAATAATTAATTTCAGATGAAGAACAAGATCCATCAGCATTTCATCATTTAGTTTAGTTTACATGCTATCTTGTCAGTTGAAGATGATTATAGAACTATTTGGTTTAATTTAGATGCATAAAGATGCATGCATCTCCATGCAGATGCAGTGTCTACAATAATGAGTAATGGTATTTCAAATACCTCCAGGTCATCATTTAGTTTAGTTTACATGCTATCTTGTCAGTTGAAGATGATTATACAAATTCTTGGTTTAATTTAGATGCATAAAGATGCATGCATCTCCATGCAGATGCAGTGTCTACAATAATGAGTTGTGACTACTTCAAGTATCAAAAAATACAGAGATTTCACTAGGTTTGTCTACTGCTCCTTCAACAGCCTTATTTTACAGTATTGTAGAATCACAGAATCATTTAGGTTGGGGAAAAAACCCAAGATCATTGAGTCCAACCACGAAGCCAGCACTGCCAGGTCCACCACTAAATCATGTCCCCAAGTGCCCCATCTACACATCTTTTAATTGCCTCCAGCTATTTCAAATGGTATTTCAAATACCTCCAGGTTACTTCAAAATGACATGCTAAAGCTTTTAGATTGTTTAGCTCATATAATATCAACGAATAGGCAGACTTAATAATTAATATGAAAAGTAAATAGATTATTCAACCTGTATAGGTTTTCAAGTATTGTTTCCAAATTGGGAATAAATGTCACATCTAGAAAATACAGGTTTATTATTATAACACCATTATATAGATTGACTAAAAAGAAAAATTAAAAAAAACCTAGCTAACTTCATACAAAATGGTATTCCAACAAATTAGGCAGATGAGAAAAGTAGGTTACAGATAGTATTAACAACTGGAACTGTTCTACTTCCAACAGACACAAAATGGATTACACATCTTATGGAAATGGAAATTATGGTTCTAATTCTGCAGCTTTTATTTATGTGAATAGTTTTCACATGTGTAATTTCTTGCCAGACTGAGTACTGGTTGCTTGTTTCAGGAATCATTTGGAGCACACCTTCCAGAGCCCAGAATTCAAATGTGTATATCTTAAGTTACACCTGCAATTAGTATATTAGATTAAGTTGCTAAGGGAGTATCACGTTTGCTGCCTCTAGCAGTCCTCAGTCATTTTATATGGTATAAATAGTTAAGTATTTTCTTTTGTCTTTTTTTCCTTATTTCCAATATCTTATGTTGTTTTTCCCCCAACATTTATGCTATTTTTATATAGATTTTTCTGGATTGCAC